GGGGGGGGGACAAGACAGGGTGGGGTAAGGAGGGGTGTTAGTGAACTTGCTCTATGGTTCCTTAGCTGCTATATACATGAAGGTTCAAGGCTTAAGCGTTATTCGGTTGTGCTCAATCACACAGTGTATGGTCAGGCTGGGTGTTATCCTGTGCGTTTGGCTGTGTAGCCACAAAGTAAACATATAAATACAATACGAATGAACAATACGGATAAACCCCAGGACCCCCAGACGTGTTATCCTCTCAGGAATAGGTACATATCAGCTTTCAGCTTTCACCAGGGCGAGGCTCATATCCTTGTTGACCCTCTTAGATCATACCTCTATGTCGAGCAAGTGAGAACGGTAAGTAGCAGAGTCCTGGAAGGCCAACCAATAATAATAATAATAATACACAATAAAACCTGCTTTTTTAAATGTTACCATAGCACATGATGAACAGATATATGGGATTGCAGTGAATTGCCATTTGTACTGACTGCCACTGCAATTTGTATATTGAGTAAAACAAAATGCACCTAAGCTATAAGGCATCCCCAATGCACAGATATGTGCTACACAGTGCACTGTGTTGTCTGAAATAGAGCAGATAATGTTTTTTTGTGCATTAGGACAATGTCAGAATTCAAAATGAACGGGCAGCCAATGCGTCTAATTGTATAAAATACTACACACCATGTGTTATCAGAGAGACAAAGAAATGGTCAGGAGCGGAGGGATGTGCACCTGCTCGATCATGGTGGAGGACCTAAGATGATACGCAAAGTCAAGACTTACCTGAAACACAATTCTGGATTTTTCAAGCAGGTATTGGGATGTTATGGCACCACAAATTATACCCCTGTGCAGAAACAAATGAGGGCAGAGTGTTACCAATATGAACATAGATGGCACAAAGCTCGGGACAAGCTAGTCCTAAAACTTACTCCTCCAGGTAGATCTCCACAAATTTGCCAAAGCGGCTGGAGTTATCATTTCGGACTGTTTTGGCATTTCCGAAAGATTCCAGCAGAGGTGTGGCCTCTAGAATCTGGAGGACACAGAAATTAGAACACCATATGTGTTTTTTGTAGAGATGTTTATGCCCACACACAGATTTACATATACAAGTACAGATAAAAGGGTACAGTGGCATTGCCATACAGAAATACAGATATGACGAATACAAAGATCACAGCACATCACACACAGCTACATCAGAACTAGGAACAAGTCATACCTCAATCTACCGTGTCCATGATGAGTGCACACATAGAAAGGAAGAAGAGTGAGGATATAGCATTATGTATACAGACACACTGATTGTATGCTCTATCTATCTATCTATCTATCTATCTATCTATCTATCTATCTATCTATCTATCTATCTATCTATCTATCTATCTATCTATCGCACACATTTATTGTGCTTTACCAGAACACAGATAGTGTAAACCTTAACAAACAGCAGTACAGTGTGGCAAGGTTACACCCTCTTTTATTGCTGTCTCTATCCTCATTAGTTAGATTTCCCATCACCTCCTGCCCTGGTCAAACACAGGGTATCACAAGGGCAGGAGGTGATGGTAAGTCTCCCCAAAAACTGAATGTAGATCTCGCCAGTGCTTACACAGATAGAAGAAAAAAAAAGCTCACCTGGTTCGTGACACCGCGCCTCTGGTTAACCGCTACCAGGTAACGCAGGATGAGTTTTGTGGCCTCCGTTTTACCAGATCCACTTTCCCCGCTGCAAAAAAGAGACAGTTTTCAGCCAATATTATTTTTTAAAAGAAAAATAAGAAACCTTTGTAACAGATTCTTCTATTTCTCAAGGACTTGAGTAGTGAAGTTTTTTTGCTTGGGTTGCCAAGTCTGCATGCCTGTTGCAATCTTATTAAGTTGGCAATACATGCTTGATTCCCCCAACCACAGTAAGCAGCATGGATAGAGCAATCTCCACAGCTGTCTATCGTATTCCAACTTTGGCTGCAATCACTGTTCTGCTGGCAGTTTTCCACCGGCCCCCTTTATTTTTTAGTCAAGGCTGTTGAGCCGAGTGGAGCGGACAGAGCCACCACGGCCCAAATAATGTCTGATTGACAGGAATCGGACAAAAGTTGAACTGTGTATGGCCAGCTTTAGGGAGGATGCAAACAGCACAAGAAGGAAACATCCCAAGATGGAAGCATCCCAGGAAGGAACCATCCCAAGATGGAGGCATCCCAAGAAGGAACCATCCCAAGAGCGAAACATCCCAAGAAGGAACCATCCAAAGATGGAAACACCCAAAGATGGAACCATCCCAAGAAGGAAACATCCCAAGAAACAACCATCCCAAGATGGAAACATCCCAAGAAGAAACCATCCCAAGAAGGAAGCATCCCAAGAAGGAACCATCCCAAGATCGAAACATCCCAAGAAGGTACCGTCCAAAGATGGAAACATCCCAAGAAGGAAACATCCCAAGATGGAAACATCCAAAACCTCAAGCTAACAAGAGCCAAGATCTACTGAGAGATCTTGCCAATGGAACTCCGAAGAGATGTACAAGTATGAAGTCACAGAAAGACCAGCCCACTAGGCTCAACCCAAAACTAAAGATAATTTTTGGGTAGTCACACATTTAAAAAAGATCCCTATTGCAATACTCTACTCCTGGTACTACTTTGGAGTTGTGTTCCTCCTACTGCCACCCTTAGATTTGGTGATAGATGGTAGTACATGCGACTTTACACTCATACTCACCTAATGATAATACACTGGTTGTGTTTGGCATCCATTAGTTTGGTGTAAGCAACATTTGCGATAGCAAAAAGGTGCCTGCAAGAGAAACACGGAAAAACATTACAGGGTATGGGCTATGCTCGCCATAAATGACACACAAATTGTGGCATAATACTATGAATGAATCCTGGCATTGTCATCTTGGAATATGCCCAATGTGCCATCAGGGAAGAAAAAAAATCCATTGATGGAAAATCCTGGCCATTCAGTATATTCAGGTCGGCAGCTGACCTAATTTTTCGTGCACATAACGTTGCTGAACCTAGACCTGACCAACTGAAGACCTATTTGCTCAGCTAAATCCAGATGGTGACATTTTTTTTTTGGACAGGCAGTGTATATTTTTGGTCACCTGGAACTGTGACTGGACAATCTGGAAATGTATTCAAGAAACCCAAGGAAAGAAGCTAACTAAATAATCGATTAGTTAGCCGATTATTAACTTCGTCTAACCGATTAGTTGTATTTAAAAAAATCTTTCTCTCTCTCTCCCTCCCTCTCCCCCTCCCCCTCCATCTCCCTCCCTCCCTCCCCTCCCTCTCTCTCCCTCCCTCACCAACTAATCGATAATGAGAATAGTTGTCAACTATTCTCATAATCGATTATTATTGATTAGTTGTTGCAGCCCTAATTAAGATTCTGCAAGAGTAACTAATAAGATTCTGCAAGAGTGTTCAAAATGTACTACTGTGGTCTATATTAATTTCTGCCATTAGGTGGCAGTACAGTGCCGCTATTTGAATGTGACTATTAGAGTGCAGTGCCACTCTCTCTGGAGTGACACTGCGTTCTACTCAGGAAGGATCATTGTTTGCCTTGTGCTTTGTCTTCTTTATTACAGGTGGACTACACTCAAGAAACTGAACTGCATTGTGTCAGATATGATTTATGAACAAGTCTATTAACTACAAAGCCACCGACAAACTCTGTCCTCGGCTATATCTCCAACCTTGTCTCAAAGTATCACCCTAACCATCCCCTCCGCTCTTCAAAAGACCTCCTGCTTTCCAGCTCCCTCGTCAACTCCTCCCATGCTCGCCTCCAGGACTTCACTAGAGTCTCTCCCATCCTCTGGAACTCTTTACCCCAACCCGTCCTTCTATCTCCCACTCTAACTGCCTTTAGGCAATCCCTTAAGACTCAGCTCTTCAAGGAAGCCTATCCTACCTCAACCTAACCACTCAACCATCACGTTCTCAAACAATTCATCCCCACACAGCTACCTCCTCATGTATCACTTCCCCCTCCCTTTTAGATTGTAAGACCTCAGTGGCAGGGCCCTCCTTACAATCTTGTCTTGAATTGTATTGTGATTACAATAGTCTTCCTGATATTGTAAAGCGCTGCACAAACTGTTGGCGCTATATAAATCTTGTATAATAATAATAATAACTAGAGACAGATAGTAATGTGTTATTACTGAAACCATTGTATACTCTGTGTTATTGATCTTCGTATGGAATGCAGCGCGTATGTTGTTAATTGGTTAATTATTTGCCCTCTTCCCTTTCCCTAGCTTGCTGGGACATCCGGACATCAGGTGTGAGAGCTTATTATTTTTGAGTAGCTTCGGGACATAATCTAAACTGGTGGGGGGAGTGTGTAGCCACCCAGCCTGAAGCAGGAGTGACTATTTAAATTTTGAAGCTGTCAGACCGCAGTCAGTCTGATCCTGATTTGATAGTTCGGCTTTGAGCTCTGGTGAGTGTTTACTTCTATCTGCTGCTGCAGAGTGTCCTTGGCAATAGTATAGGAAGATGCTCTAATCAATATGAGGAATGTTTGTACCTCCTTGGCCAACTATTAGGAGCATTTTCACAAGTAGTGCATGCTGGCTGAGGCTACAAATATTCAGTAATGACCTTGGAAAGTCAGTCTCCCCTGGGCTGAGATGCTGTGGATTGCCTGATCTTCCTAGGCCTGCGGCCCACAGAGGATGGCCATGTGCTCAGACTGAGGCCTGGGACTTGAGCTTGGTGCAGCCTAAAGATGGAGATGACATGGAGAAACTTCAGCATGCATGAGAAGCCTGGCAAGTTGGTCCCCTGCTGAAGCATGGTGACTTCTTCAAATAACTGGCAGCTACATCATTGAGTATTCTACAGCAGAAGCTGAAGTCACAGATTGCTGGATTGGCTTGAAGAGCCTCTATTTGTGAAGGCTGCAAGTACTTTGTCCTCTCTTGTTGGAGTCTATAACATGCTGGATGTCCTGTGCCCTAACCCTCTCTCCTAATGTTGTTCAACTATGTTCATCAAGCATCAGAACCTCGGTGTGGAAGTAAGTTCATCAGTCGCCACTGGAGGGTCGGTAAGTGCTTTTTGGGGCAGCAAAGGAACTGGTAACCCTAGACAGGCTAGGAGGGTCCTATACATCCAGCAGCTCCTTCGGGGGTGAGCAATCAGGGCTGGATTTCCCTCAAGGCCAACCAAGGCCCGGCCTCAGAGCAGGGAGTAGAGGGGCAGCAGGGGTGTGGAATGCCTATCTCCCGGTGCCCAGGACATGTAGTTCTGGGCGCCGGGCGGGTAGTTGTTTTCTACATCTAGCCCTGCTTTGGGCAAGCAGGGCTAAGTGTACAGTGGAGAAGCCGCCTCTTGTTTTGTACGAGTGATCTTGGCGAAGTCACCAAGATCGCTTTTTTGCATCCTGCATACAGGGGGGCGCATTGAGGAACTTGGCCTTGGGGCAGCAGAGAGAGTAAATCCGGCCCTGTGAGCACTATACTAACAATCACACGGGTTGGGATTTTTTGGTCTGGCATTCGGCTGATAATAAGATGACCAATGAAATGCCAGAGCACAATATTACCTAAAAGCGGAGATCTCCTGACATGCTCAGAATAGTAGTTTGAATGTTGGGTGAATGGAGGCTCAATACGAGAATCTGATTGATTGTTTCCTAATACAGTATTCGTATCTGTGTCAAAAAAAAGCTTTTCAAAAGTAATGGTTTTCCAGTGGGGACGCTAGTTCTGGTGACCACCAGGGGCTTTCCTCCTTTTTGGAGGTATTTCCTCTCACTTCCTGTTGTGGCTATTGGACAGAAAGTGAAGAGAAATCCCCCAATGGGATACAGATGGTAAAAAAGCTGATGGGGTTATAACTAGGGATGCACCAATACCAGTATTTCGGCATTGAGTACGAGTACCGATATTTTTTTTGGTACTCTCCGATGCCGAATACCGAGCACCGGAAGTCCCATTCAGGAAGCCAGGAGGCGTGTAAGGACTCGACACCCGGCTTCCCGATTAGCAGGAAAGCCGTCCCCATGCTTCTCGTCACTAGGGGACGAGAAAGCATGGAGCCGGCTTTCTGGCCAATCAGGAAGCCGGGCGCTGTGTAATGACGTGGCGCCCGGCTTCCTGATTGGCCAGAAAGCCGGCTC